CGTTTTGCTGTTAATTATATTTATAAAAGATTCAATTATAATTTATGATTGTTTTGCCTCATGGTCCGGCCAACAACAGCTGTCAATTGCAGCTACCACAATTTTCGCCATTACAAAGGGTCACTTGAAAATCGCTTTCAAGTGTACACGAAATGTCAGCGTTAATATTCGAGATAATATTGCGTTAATATAATGATAACACTCATAAACGTAATGCATAACAATAAAGCAAGTGCGCCTTGCGTGAGTACACATTTTCAATGACCTGATGAGGCGGTAAGTTGGATGCGAATGCATCAATTGTACGGCGCTGCCGGCTGTCTTCATAATGCGGGTAATGTTGTTGTTATTATGCATAGGCATGAATATGTACAGAACAATTTGAAGCAGATAAGTGCAGCGAATCGCAGGCTTATGACAAATATGAGCGCACTTGGAGGATATATGAAATTCATTATAACCTAAACAAATTATTTAAAGATTAATTTAAAAAAAATTATAATAATAAACAAATTTTTATTATGGTATAATACGGAACTAGATTTTGGCATATAAAATTGAAAAGCAATATTTTTTTAATTCAATTAAAGATTAAAAAAATAATAATTCAATAAAGTTCAAGATTTTTAATAGTAAAAAAAGAAAATAAATTTAAAAAAAATTATAAATTAAAAATATATAAAAAAAACTTTAAAAATTAGAAGATTTTCGAAAATAGAAATAAAATATAAATTAAACGAAAATAGAGCGATTATCATATAAAAAAATTAAGCAGTTTTTTTAATTTACATTTTTTATGAAATAAGCTAAAACTATAAAGTAATATTTATTTTTACAAATCATCTGATCTGCTCTTAAAAAACTTAAATTTACCTTATTACGAAAATTGATGAATATCCCGCTACATATTTTAAGAATAATCAATCTCTATACTTTAAATTAACAGTACGTTCGCTATTTTTATGCTTCTCTTTATTTCAGTGAAATTTTAAAGCAAACTGTTGAATGATAAAGAGGATATGATAATTTCGCATGTAAAAATATTTAAAAAATTAAAGTAAAAACAAATTAAATTAAATAACAAAAATGTATACTTATATTCACATATCAAATGTAAAATAACTATTTTTTCACTAAATATCACAATTTTAATTGCAATTTATGGTTATATTCTGACGTCAAATACATGTGTAGCTTCTTATACTTGTATGAAGCCACTGAATCCCTCACTTAAACAATAGCTGGTATATAACGAAAAAATAAATTTTATTAATACTATTTTTAATTTCATTATTTGAATAATAATGCAATATTTCTTTTTGAATCTTTTAAATTTGGAAATAAATATATATCGCAAGCAATAGCAGCCTCAAATATTTTTTTTTTTGTTATAATTTACATTAAAAGTACTTTCAACTTATGCGGTTCTTTTGTTAACGCGTACCTTATAAGTATTGTAGACAGTTCCATCGCCTAATTGTTAAAATTTACTATTCACAACTATTTTTTATTGTGACTCTCTGCGTTTTTAGCGTTACGCCCGTTCGAAAGCTAAGCGTATTTACAAGACGACATGCATGTTTACGTTTAATGACAACATTAACAACATGGCAAATGACATCAAAAGCAAATGTTGCAAAAAAGTGGCAGCAGCAAAAAACTTTAAATTGAGCCGGCAGTTAGCACAAACGCTTGCACAAGCCGCAAACACATCTGTACATATATTTGCAGATACATATTTACAAATACTCGCTTGTACAACAACAATGCAGCACTTGTCTTACATATGTCAACTTGTCATTTTTCTTGTGTCAACAACATGACTTTAATGACTTTCTTTTCTTATTGTGCCAGTTGACTTGACTGCAGTAAAAAGGAAGCACAACAACAACAATAAGACACAACGAACTTTGCCAAGGCACATTTTTGAATGACAGCAACTTCGGTTTGTGTGCGAATATGCATGCGAAAATAGTTCGCTAACGTTGTTGTTGCTGTTTTGTGAAAGTTAAAACCACAACAATGACTGACCCTTCGACATGCCACTGCAGAAGTTAAAAAACGTGTCATTAACGGCAAGACAGTCTCAATCACACAAGAATATGCTTAGTTTGCAGTTTTTCTTTTGTTTGTTGTGTGGTTTAGTTGCAAATCGGCATACACGCACACACACACATATTATGCTCACAAGTATGCTCATAGGTGCATACATAGTCCAAAAGAGGTGAAAGCGTGTTTAAGTGGTCATATTCTTGGTCACACACAATCTAGTGAATTAATCTGCAATTTGTCTCTGTCCACCTGAAATTGCTTTTTAAATAGCGGCCAACCAGCAATTGTCGTTACTCATACGCCACGGTGCGTTCACTTTTTTCGAGCGCCTTAATGCACGAATGCCATAGCTAAATAGCTGTTTTTATATTTCGTAAAAAAATTGAAATACTTTGCTATGAAAAAGTTACATTAATAGAATAGTGATTGAAGTGAAACTAAAAATAATTATAAATAAAAATAAAAGTACTATTAAAAATTAGATTCAAAATTCATGAGAAATTAAAAACTTTAAATAGCCATGTTATGAAAAAAAAATAAATTAAATTTTTTTACATTAAAAATATTTTTACATTTTTTTTTCACTTATCTTTTCTTACAAATAATCACAATAATAATTTTCTAATCAGCAAAAACGTTTTATTTTGTCAAAGCTCAATATAACAAGTGACTAAACGCACTAACAACCAAAAACCACATATTTAATATTATATTAATTAGCTTAAGAAAATAGTTTTTCGCATACCTTTGAAATTAATAATTTTTTGTTTTTGGATACTTGTAGTAAAATTTTGAAATAATTAAAGTATTTCAGATGCTTTTTATTAATACATCCATATTTTTTTATGGCACTTTTTTAATTTTTTTTTCTTAATTAAATTTGTTTATTTTGTAATCGAAAGTCTTAATTACAAATAATTTTTATATTTCTAATTCAATTTTAATCCTAAGTTTATAATTGAAAATTATAAAAAACATGTTTTTGAATTTGTAGTTTTTCGCGCTGGCATGGGGCACGATTTTACAATCAAAAATTAAATTTACAATATTTACAAACAAAAATATTGCAGCTTTATACCAATTTATTGAAATAAATGCAAATAAAATTTTCGAAAATTAGATTAAGAGTTTTCAAGCACAATTTTTGGAAGGTCGATTTTTGAAATTGCTGATATTTTTGTTGTTTCAGTAGAATAAAACATTATTCTTGTATTTTTCAAGGCTCCTATAACTCTTTTTGGACAAACAAATAATATATCCTTCTGGTGAAATCAAAGTGCACTTTTGTATTTCCTATAATGTTGCTAGATTGTCAAAAAGCAAGCTTAAAACACTTGCCCCAATGTGATTAAATCCACTTTCGATTTGTTATGGCAACAGCCTTCCACTGCTTATTTATTGTCTTTGCATATTATGACACAAGTGCATGTTTGCATGCATGCAGAAATTTGTGTACGCCTGTGTGTATTTACATACGTATGCCTGCGGTGTAACAAATTATCGAAGCGTTAAGGCTCTAATTGAAATCCCTATACAATACAAACACCCGCAGGGCGTAGGATTCCATAAACACGACCTCACTGATGCATAACTACTGCTCGGCCATTATCAGACGACCGACCGCCGTCGCTACTCTTGCTGCTTGCTGATGGCCGCCACCATTTTAGTAGTATGTTGGTTGTGTGTATGTGTGTGTGTGTGTATTGGTGGCCTGCACGCCGCTGAAGCGGAAGTCATTAGTAGCAAAAACAGGCAACAGCAGTCAGCGGTAAATGCGGTTAAATGCACTTTGTGTGCGTACCGTTAGGCGAGCGGCTATGCACCAAACTCACACGGTGCTATTTCGCAACTATAAACAGATGCCAGCAAACAATTTCGGTGCTGGCGCAGCATGCATGTATGCATTTTGTAGTAAATACACGCAAGTAACACAAGCGGAAGCTTAGGCCTTGGCGCATTTACGCTTGTATATATTTATAAATACACGCGCTATCGGGCGTTTATAAGCAAACACACTCGAGTGTAAATGCACGTGCATAAAATTGTGCGAGCGCTTGACAATCAGCTGCCAATGAAGCATGATGGCGGTCACCATAGTAATAAAGGACACCGTTGACAAGCGCACGCACACACCCAAATACTCACACATACACAAGCGAAGTGTTCACACACAAGCGCCAGCTCAAACATTAGTTGGGCATCACTACCCTTGCGCTGCGCTTGCCACCGCTAGCTGCATGTAGCAGGCGTTCGGTGCAGCGCCGCAGCACATGACCCAGACAGCTAATGCTGGTGATGAGCATAATGGATGTCAAAGGCTATTTCGTGATGCACAATCAGTCAGGTTGAGTGCTGGTCGCGCAGCCGCTCCCTTCTCACTCTCTGCCTCCCATGGCAACCACGGCAGTTGGTCAGCGTGTACTGGGTCCGTACTAATTTTATTTGCATTTTAAAAATTGCTCACGATAAAGCTATACGCCGCTTAATGGAGACAGCAAAAGCAGCTTTTGCCTTGCAGCTGTTAACTAAATGTCACGCAATTTTTTCTATTGATGCAATGCGGTCTGACGTCCCACTGCGCCAATAACCAGCACGCACATGCCGCAAAATGCATGAAACAACAAATGTTCATGCTTATGAAAGTATGTAGTTGAGCAGGTGAGTTTTTTGGTTGCAGCAAATGCGATTTTTTTTTTTAGAATTTTCGGATAACAGCCAGTTGTGTGCTGGAAAATATGTGCAGAGAGATAGTGATTTCATGCTCTAGAAATGCTTGAATTTAGGAGAACAAATTTGGATAGCGGAAATAGTGGGTTAAAGTGTGTCGACTCTAAATATATTTTGGAATTTTATGCAAATGAAAATCTCTATCTTTGCTTTCAATACATTCTATGGTACATATGTATATACAACATGTTTAAATTAAAATGCAGTTCGTGTGAAACTTGTAAGATTTAAGTTTTATAAAGCTATTTATTATTTTCTTTTTTATGTTTTTTGTACATGGAAAATATATTTTTCACAGGTGCATTTCTTATAGCATAAAAGGGTATAAAAAGAGCTTTATTTTGACTTTGATCGCTCACTTTGTTGGCAGCTATATGCTATAGTCGTCCGGTTTGATCAATATATACCGAGATTGTAGCCCGCTTATCTATTTTATATTTAAGATATCTTATCTTATATATATAGGACTTGACTTTGATCGGTTTGTATGACAGCTATATCGTATAGAGGTATAGTATCGGCGGTTCCAATTAATGATTACCTTTTTGGGATGAAAAGAACGTATGCAAAATTTCAGATTGATATCTCAAAAACTGCAGGACTCTCGAGGGTACTAAATGAACATAAAGTAGATGCAAGAAAACTCCATGAAATCAATCCAAGAACTCTGTTAAGCTTGTCGTGGGCATAAAGAAGTTTTAATATTTGTACCCCTCCTTCAAACTATCTAACGGGATTTTACTTTCGACCATCGTGGACTCTATATGGCATACATATCATTAATATCTAAGAAATTATCCGACCAAACTGAACTAAACTTAATAAATTTGAGAAAAAATTTAAAACAAAGTGGATCCACTACTTATGCTAAATGCAACCATATATATATATATATATGGGGTCGGGATATTTACTGTTTGGACTAGCTTCACTTAGATCCTCCCTAAGTTATAGCTTATAAAAGTATCTGAGACGGACCATCGTCTTAGATATACCTAAAAGAACATTCTACGGCACTATTCACAAAAACTTACTGTGATATTCCAACAAATCCACAAGATTACTCACATTGGCTCATTTTTCAGCATAAACACGTAAAAGCAAAATTAGAAGGTATTTAGGTGAAAGTAGTCAGAAGGTATTTAGTAGAAATTATTTTGTAGAAAAAAATATATTTTGTTCTTACTTCACATCCTAAAGCGATGCGCCTGCCACCGCTATGTGCTTAGCCTTAGTTTCATTTCAGATGTGAATTTAGTCGGTAGTGAAACGTCATGCTTACACGTTGTTACACGGCTAATTTGCTCTTTCTTTACTGCACGATCACGACCTTCTCCTTTGAGATCGCACACTGAGGAGTTCTAGCGCGGCGCATGCGCAAACAACACAAAGCAGTTGGCCGACGCACGTGCTTCAACGGTGATTTATAATCATAATGCTTTCGATTGTTATAGTAAGACATCAAATTTATACATACATATACACAAGTATATCTGTTAAATATGTACAAATACTTACACTGATATGTCATTTGTTATTTCAAAATATATACTTCGTCGTTTTAGCGAGATATGTCAATTTTCACTGCATAAATAGCGCTAATGTAAATCACATATCAGGATAAGTACAACTGTATTTGAGGATATATACAAATACGCATATATTTATAAAAGAAAAATCACCACGTCGCTCAGAAAGTCGTCGTTTATTTGTTGTTGTTGTTTATTTTTCCTTCCACCACTTTTCGCCTAAGTCAACAGGCCACATTCTCAAGCACTTCCAAAAAACAGAGAAACGCATTGTTACTATTCACACAATTCAACTAAAAACCTGTACCTTTGAAGAATCACGTCCGTCCACAAAAGGACGGAATAGTTATGAATAGCGAGTGCGTAAATCTCAAACACTTGGGAAATCACTTGCGAGACAAGCAGGTAAATGAGCAAATAGAAATAAATATCTTACGGAGTTTTCCTTTAATGACATACACACATATATACTTACATATACACAAATGTACGCAATATATTCAAGGCTACAGTTAGTTGCACGAGCATGTGTTGTGCACATTTCGCTCTGCAGTTAAGGCAAACAGGTAGATGGGTAGGATCGAAGGTGCGACTGAGAAGCGCGAGCAAGTGAAGTCTCAGTTTTGAAAGTGTTTTCGATGATAACGCTGCTGCAAGTGAAGAAGCGCATGCGTATATATTTTTTACTGTTTGAATTGTAAAATTTCGATAAACTGCTTTGTTTTAAAATACATAGTAATAAATAATTTGAATGAAAGAGTGAGTGCTAATAAAAAATTTAAAAAATGTAATTAAAATTTTCTTACTGAAATGCTTCCTCTATCTTTTTCTTCAGTCACCAACACCATAAACGCAAAAGGACGCTGCATAAGATAAACACACAAACAACAACAATAAAAGCCGCTAAAATGCTTCAACACATACCGCCCGCCACAAGCGGGTGTTTCTCCACGCCGCGTCCACGTTTTACCACGCAGCAATGCTTCACGTTCGCACTCGCCTTATTTATTGCCGTGTGTCAACTGCCGGCCGCCACTGTAGCCGTTTTCTCACAGAAAAACTGCCGCGACTTGGGCGCCAACTCGCATTGTCAATGCTCGACGATGCCCTCACGCTACGAAATCCAATGCCCGCCCATGGACTTTAATCACAAATTCACCCTACTAATTAGCCCGGGCGAACATGTACAGATCGATTGTGGTCGCGTGGATGCACGCGAATATAATTTATTGCCGAGCATGTCGATTGGAGATAGCAAAATTGTACAGATCCGTCAGTGTCCGCTGCCCGGTCATGATCCCATAGCGCGCCTCTTTGAACATTTGGGCATAACAAAGGTGAATTATTTGATGTTCGAAAGCGGCGAGTTGGGCGCGAACTTGACACGGCACCACCTCAGTGATCTCAAGAATTTGGCGCATCTGCGCTTTAGCTCAAATAGTTTGACACACATGCCGGAAGATTTGTTCGCCGATTTGGGTAATTTGAATTGGTTAGATTTGCGTTCGAATAATGTCAATTTGACGGAGAAACTTTTTGAACCACTCAAGAATTTGACATTCCTCGAACTGGGCCACAATAATTTGAAAACACTACCGCGTGGCATATTCAAGAATCAGCAAAAGTTGTTGCATCTCAATTTGTGGGGTAATCAATTGCGCAATTTGACTAGAGATGTATTCGAGGATGCCACTTCACTGACAGACATCGATTTAAGCGCGAATAATATTGAGACCTTTGCGCCAGATGTCTTTCAACCGTTAACACAGCTTGGCAGTCTTTATATAAGTGCGAATCATATTCGAGAATTGCCATTTGGACTCTTCTCCAATACTAAAAATTTGACGGAATTCCGTTTGATTAACAATCGTGTTGCGCTCATAGCACTGCCATCAAAGCTTTTTGCCAACTTACCGCACTTGAAGGAAGTGCGTTTGAGTTGCGAACTGGAGAGCGTACCCGAAGATCTGTTCGAAAACTCAAATAAGTTGGCGAATCTAACGCTAAATGATAACATGTTGACCACGCTACCCGAGCAACTGTTAAGAGATCAGCATGAATTGTACGATCTGGATCTGTCGCATAATCGGCTACAAACACTACCTGATGGTCTCTTCCAGAACACGAGAAAGCTAGTGGAACTTAAACTGTCACACAACCAGCTACGCGAAATCTCAAGGTAAGCTTAAAAATTGTGAAAATTAATGCTTTCCATCACTTTCTGTTTACTATATGCTAACAAATTCACTCTTTATCGCATTGCTTTTAGCGAGCTTTTCAATCCACTGGTCAATCTCGAGCTACTACTGCTGGACAATAACAATTTGCTAACAATCAACATTTACGCCTTCCGCGACACAGCCAACTTAAAGTTTTTGGATTTGGAGAATAATCAAATCGATCTCGCCGAAGCACATGCCGCCATCCTCGAACCCACGGCGTACAGCAACTCTGAGTTCGATGCGAATTCACCATTCCAATTTCTCTACAAGCTGCAACAGCTCAATTTGCGCAACAATTCCATCATGTACATCTTTAACGACTGGAAGACACAGCTGCTCGAACTGCAGAAACTCGACATCAGCTACAACAATATCACCATATTCCATGACCAAGATCTACAGTTCCTCAGCAAACATCCCGTCGAAGTAAATCTCACGCATAATCTCATACACGAAATCAACTTCAATACAATCCATATCATGGATGCGCCTTTCGCAAACCGACTTGTACGCATAGATCTCAACGACAACCCGCTGCACTGCGACTGCCTTATGCTGCCCTTCTTAAAGTTTATCTTCAACGAGTTCAAAGACAAGTTCGAGAATAAAATTGAGTTGCTGACGTCGAATTTGCAGTGTGAAGGTCCGACCGCATTGCAGGGTAAACATATGGAGGAACTGAGTTACATGGAGCTCCTGTGTCCATTGGATGATAGCGCCTCCAGCGAAAAGCGGTGCCCACGCGGCTGCGATTGTTGGGTACGTCCGCATGATTATATGTTGCTGTTGAATTGCTCCAATGGCAATTTGACGCGCTTGCCCGCACTCCCACACGAGCCACTACTTAAAGGCATTGTACTGTTTGTGGAGAACAACAATCTTATGAGATTGCCGCTTAGCAGCACGACGGGTTACGCAGATGTGAAGCAACTACACGCTGCCGGCAATCAGTTGCGTGCCATCGAAGCCAACAACTTGCCACTGGGTTTGCAATACTTGGACCTGCGCCACAACATGCTACAGCGCCTAAATGAGAGCGTCTTAGATTACCTGAACAGCAGCAGCACAATGGAAGCACTTTTACTGTCGCACAATGCGTGGCTTTGCGACTGTGAGACGAGACCTTTACTTGAGTTCACACAGAGTGCCACGGTATTGCAGAAACTGAAGGTGCGTGACTTCAATCAGATGCGTTGTGCGGTAGATCCAATGAAGCCGCAGAATGTTCAATGGTTCAAAGAGATATCCGTGGCGGATATCTGTCCGACACAAATGGGTTTGGTAATTGCTATGGGCATCAGCATTGCATTGTTGGGTCTGTTGATCGGCATCTGCGTGGCGCTCTTCTACAAATATAATCAAGAGATAAAAGTTTTCCTCTATGCGCACAACTGGTGTCTGTGGTTCGTTACCGAGGAAGAGTTGGACAAGGAAAAGAAGTACGATGCTTTCGTCTCTTACTCACACAAAGATGAATCATTCATCGCAGACTATCTGGTGCCGCAATTGGAACACGGTCCGATACCCTTCAAGCTGTGCATACATGTGCGTGATTTCATTGTTGGTGGCTGCATACCTGATCAGATTATACGCTCAGTGGATGAATCCAGACGCACCATTGTTGTATTGTCACAAAACTTTATCGAATCCGTGTGGGCGCGTATGGAATTCCGTGCAGCTCATCAGTCGGCGCTCAATGAGAAACGCAATCGTTTGATTGTCATCATTTATAGTGACATTGAAAATATCGAAAATTTGGATAGCGAACTGCAAGCATATCTAAAGACCAACACCTATCTGAAATGGGGCGATCCATACTTCTGGGATAAACTACGTTATGCCATGCCACATCCTAGCAGAAAGCCGACTGGTGGTTTGGAGAAGACCGCAATGAAGAGTTCGGTCGATGACAAGCTCGAACTCATCAAACCATCACCTGTAACACCCTCACCTACAACACCACCTGCCATAGCGGCGAAAAATCCACTCATAGCCCATCTGAATGGTGGCACGCCACAAACAGCGATCATTATACCCAATGGCAAGATGACGAACGGCATGACGCCCAATTATCACATGAACGGCAAGACACAGAATGGACATATTAACGGCGCTTTTATTATCAATACAAATGCCAAGCAGAGTGATGTATAGAACAGGGAGAAGGCGGAAGTGTTTCAGTTCGATGACGATTTCTTGTTTCGATGAACCTGAACCCGAGCCATGAATGAGTTCTAAGTTAATTTAAAGATTTAAATTGAATAAGAAATGGCAAGTAACATGTAAAACCCCGACAGCGTGAAATTTGCTAATTGCAACAACTAAAAGTAGGCTAATCATACACCACAAACAATGCGGAGTGCATAACAGAATGTTGAAGAAACGGGGTATACTAAACGGCGATATGTTTTTAAATGCTCGGAGGCCCTTATTAAACGTTATGCTCACAATATGCACGTTTCAGTTTTCTTTTTTTTATTGTTTTAGAAAATATGTAGTATACTTTTAGGCTTCTATTGTTATAAGCAATTCGGAACTTGTATCGATCACAATTCTGCTAAAATTTTGGAAAAACGCTCATTTTTATATTATATAAATTAAGGAAAAAGCTTAATTTATGCTCCAATTATTATTTTTTAATTATTTGAATTTTATACTTAAGTTGTTTTTGACTTGTAAAGAATGAAAACTCACAAACAAACATATTTTTGTACTCACGCTAGCGTTAAGCATATAACAAGTTAGCCGCTAAACATAGCTTAACAATTAATGTATGTGTACAAAAATGATAAACTTAAAAAATTCCATACTTAAGCTGTATACAAAGCTCAATGTGTTAAGCTCAAGAACTTTTCATTTTCAAGGATTTCATTTAGAAGAAAAGAAAGTAATCTCGTTTTCACATTTTGACAATCATTTCGTTAGTTGATTTTTTAAGAATCTCACTTGTTAAATATAAATAATCTCAAGGCAAAGTTTTCACTATGAAAATATATTGTATTTTATTTTTTCGCTTTAAGAGAATTTCTCGAATATTTTAACGGTATATATATATACAACTGTATATAACACATCATATAGGACATTATTTAAGCTCACTTAACTAGCAGACGCATATATGTATGGCTATGTATGTATGTGAGTAAATATATATTACATACTTTGTAAGCACACAAACACACATTTACACAACAGCAACAAAATCAACAAAAATACACATTTTCACATTTCACAAATGCAATATGAAAATTCCAAAAACTAGCGTTAAGTAACAGTACACACACACATATATATGTAATGAATTACAGTAATGTTTAAGTATATAAATATATAGCATAGATGTGAACTTAATTTCAGCTATTCAATAAGTATGTACTTAGTAGATTTTTCAAAATAAATATATATATATATATATAGCGAAAAACAAAATCAATTTGAACAAGTAAATATAATTATACATATTACACACATATATATATAATAAATATATGTATTTAGCTTTAGAGGAGTACATATACCCAAACAAATGCCTTCTACATAAATATGAGTAAAACAAAAATTAAATTTGAATAAAATAAAATAAAATAAGCAAATCATATAAATGTTTGAGCTGATAACTGTGCATGCCGTACATATGTACCATATACTCGTATATGTATGTATTGCAAGATATAAATTACAAAAGCAAAATAATATAAAATAAATGCTGAAGAAGAAGAAAGAAATAAAATTTTCATCAACGCGAGCTAAAAAGCAGATACACAGAAACACACACAAATACACAGATATTATTCAATGTAAATTTATTTTTTTAAAACATAATACCAACAACAACTAAAATATTTTGGAACAACAACAACAACAAATTTACACCAGCATAGCACGTTTAGGTTCAACTTTAAAGTGACAAGACTTCCTTAGTTCTCAAACAAAGTACTCAACAACATACATATATACTAAACATACATATATATACTATAGTACATACCAAATACATGCACATATGTATACCTAATTTTATCTCATACCAACTATATACAATATATGTATATGTGAGTGTGTTTTCTGCCTGTCGCTCGTATATTTGTATGCAATATATAAGTAAGTAAGATTTGACCCCGAAATATATATTACTCGTACACACCGATACACATGCATATACATATACATATGTAGATATAGATGTGTGAGTAAATCAATGACATACGCGCACTCATAGGCAGGAGATATTATAATATTTGGACTAAATTTACGCTATATTGCTAGATGTATGTATATTTAGGTATGAAATAATGCGAATAAAATTTAAAAATAAAACACATATTTTAAAAGAAAAAATAACAAAGACGTGTTCTGATTGCAAATAAAGCGTCCAGAGCGTTTGAAAGATAAGTAAGTGCCGATTAGAAAAAAAATAACACAAACACCACTATTTGTGATTTAAGCTAGATGCTTATAAAATAGCAGAAGTTACCTAGAAATGTGTTCCCCTGCATTGTCAACAGGTTATACTTTCAACCGGCAGCGCCTTTCAGCGACTATTTTGGTAATTTACAGTGGCAGCAAAACTCTATTCTTAACCGGTTATACCAAGCGAGCATAAAGCGGCAGCAAATTTCAGACTAAACCGGCAATGAAGTGCAAAGCGATACTCTGCCCTGAAAACAACAAAAAATCAAGCAAAATACTTCTCAACTGTTGAAATATTACTCCCAGTACAATTGCAGTAAAGTAGTAAAGCAACCTCACGGGTTTACCAGGCGTTCATAAATTATGGGAAAGTGTCTATAATTTTAACACTGCACTACCAACAACGAATAATGTATACTTTAAGAAAATGGAATCATCGAAATATTTTGAACTCCGGAAATTAATATTCGTTGTCTGCGCGACTACAGGATGTTCAAAAATGATTGTGTATTTCTATAAACATTAATAACTGCACCATAAATTTTACTCAAAGATCAACACAAACTTTATACAATTTAATGACGCTTTCGAGCTTTAAGCATATTCGGAAATTACTTCCACCCTTCATTCGTTTATAGAATATTGAACTTATTGATTTAAAAGTGTACGAAAACCAACACCGTACCCGAGCTTTAAGCTCTTCGTCGATTATTGCGAAAGTTTGTAGTTTTGAAGATTTAAAAAAAAAATGTTAAACAGATGCTTTTGAAATTTAGGTCAATTTAATTTTTTTAACCCAATTCCATACAGTTCTCGTAAATTTCATCTGAAAACTTTTTCGATAACCCTTTTTATTTGAATCTACAAAAGTCTTAACGACATTGTTAAATGACCTGTCCTACTACCACTAAAAGTTACAGCGCACAAACATTTCACTAATAATTTGAGAGAGTTTCGAAATTATGGCGCCCAATTTAATGTTTATTGAAAAACAGTTAAAGTTTACGCATAATTAAAATGCAACCAACTCTAAATATTTCCAAATTCACAATTTATGTACAAACTTAGTAGAAAATTAAAGCAGCAACTTTTTGCAAAAAATTAATGAAACGTAAAAGTCCACCAATAGCGTTGACGCCGACGTCAGGGACCTCGTGTCTAACTAACCATGAAACGTAAATGTTTTTCGCGAGCGCGCGCTTAACGGTAAGTGCAAACTTCTATGAAACTATTGCAATTGCAATGCATAAGCACGAAAATGCAAGAATTCAACGATGCAACAACAACAAAACGTAAAATAACAAACAACATCGCTAAGAGCAGAGTAAGGTCAACGGCTGCAGCGCCAACCGGCAGGAGAAAGTCCTGCCGGACCAGACGCGCCATTGAGCAAACAACAAGAATTTTGCCAAAAATTATTGCTGCGAAAGTTGCAACAAAAACACCAATAAAATCCTCAACAATGGCAGTGCAACACCAACGCTGTGGCAACAATTGCCAAAAGCAAATACCATAAAACAAGTGTGCAGTGCGGCAAGTGCATAGAGTGGCAGTTCAGTGAGCATGCAAGGCGCCGCGTTCTGCGCTGGAGATAGGCGCCCACGGCTCGTTGTCGATGAGTGTTGCACGTAGGCAACGCATTAAAAAGTTTGCAGCTATTTAAAGCGTCATTTCATTGAATCGCTAATTTCGAGCGCCAATAGAACGGAGTGGTGCGCAGGCGGAGAGGAAACGGCAAAGTCAAATAGTGGCAGTGAAGTTGCATTAGTCCAACAACAGTAAACGTTTGAATAGAAACGAAATTGCAAATTTTAAATGGCGGGTGGCAAGCCAGCGCGTGCGCGAAAGTGTTGGTGTATAGGGGGTATACTTAGCCTATGCGTAGGCGTTGGGCTAGCTAGGATCTTTACAAACGTGTTGCGTTAGCGAACTCGAACTTTGGCGTATTTTCGTGCGATTGCCATTGAATGGCAGCAGCATTCAGTATTGTTCATTTCATGAGCGATCAGCACAAAAGGCTGCAAATGGAAAACACGCCCAGAAATCCAATTTTTACACAATAACCGTCGGTTGCCACCTACATTGAAGCAATGTGAAGTAATCATGTAGTATAATATGTAGTATAACTTCATAGTGTTGGAATTACGCATCACATTTAGTTCGTTTAACTCTACAACTTTAAATGATTGAAATCGAAATTTTTATTTTTAATAAAGTTTTGGGGTCACATTTAGTTTACAATAAGTGTGAGTAATTACAACAAAATTGAAATTTTATAAGAGATGTGTGACGAATTAGGTGGAAGAATAATACATTTTCTGAAAAACTTGTGCCACAGATCATTCTTAGCACAATGAAGACCCATGTCTTCAAAAGTTTGTTAAGACGATGACTCAGTTGAAAACGAAATATAGACTCCAATACTAAATTTTATAATAAACGCATACATTTTATCTAGTTCAAGAGTGAATTCGATGATATCGTCGTAGGTAAATTCATAGCTCCTTTAAACTTCGTGTGGGTCCCTAAAGACTAAAAGAGTTATTTCGCTGCGTTTGGTGAAGCTTGGAATCTGTGATTGAACCCACAAAGTCTTTCCTCGATTCACTCTGAAATATTCAAAGTTTTTCATATCTCAAAAATGTGTTCCAAAAGTTCATAATTATATTAATAACAGAGCTTTACTTTCATTTTCGACTTTTATACATAGGCTATCAAGCAAATGGAAGTATACCATCTAGTATAAATAAATTCATATTTTTTCCAGGTATTGCTTTAGTAATCCGTAATTCTCGTTGTATTTGTGCAATCGTATAACGTTATATGGCGCTATACGATATATTTTACAGTTTTTCTTCGAAAAACACGAAAACGAAAGCCGGCAGGTAAAAATTGCATGGTTTAGATTGCTCAGGAGATAAACATTGCATAAAAACCGTTTGAAACCAAGATAAGGCTGGATGCAAAAACCACCACGATGGACCGAATTTCCTTTCCATTCCATTAGATCATTTGAAGAAAGCTATCACCTAGAAACGGCCAGATTTAGCCAATACGAGAATAATTGTGTTCTCTCAGGACTATATATTATAGTCTGGTTTTGGCACCAAGTGATTACTACCTGATTCTGTTTAATGAGAATGATTTAGCGAGTTAACAATTCGCCTATAAAGAAGCTTGTGAAAATCTACTGTCCTAGTTTTCTGCTAATATTGACGACGGTTTCAATGAGAGTGGCATTATGAAATTACCTTCAAAATGGCAACAAGTTATTGTACAAAAAGGTGCATATTTGACCAAAATCGAATCATTCTAACTATGCCAAAAAAAAACTTCAATTTAATGTTTTTCTAGATCTTATCGGTTGTGAACTTGTAAACTTTCTTTCATGGGCTACTTTATTTGGTAAGTAATAGTAGCTCAAAATTTGTCATGGTTAGAGTGTTGTCGAACTTTAATATTCAATATGCCGCACACCGCCAGCCGCTACTCAGTCGTTGCATTAAGGACTTTCCGCATTTCTGCGAAGTCATCTCCTCCCTAACTGCGGCGGCCACGCATGCCAACAGCTCATAAATGGCTATCGAGTTGAGAAATGTGAACGTTTATCGCACATAAATGCAATTGTTTTGCGGCGTATTTGTGCAGTGCGACAGTTTGTATGTTATAGCGTTATACATCCTGCGGAAATTGCCGGTTTTTGAAGCCGACATTTGTAACGCTGCCAAAACCCATTTCGCGCACAAAGGAAAACATTTTAGAGCAACAGCAGCAAGCAAGCAAGCCACAGTTACTTTTTACGAAGTAACGAGCACGAAAGGACGATGGCACTTGTGTCATGCTTGTACAGAGACTTGCGGCATCTAATACCGTTACAAGCACTCGTAGCGGCAAGTACTTGCGAGTGAGTTTCAAGCGAAAAGCGCGCTCTTCTGCCAATCACTCATACTTGTACACTCCTTTGAACTGTTGCATTCGACAAATATGAGCGGCTATTTAATATTCTTGCATACATAGATAACTCTGAATTACTTTTTAGGTATATATACACATTATATACCTATATATCTATATATATATTTAGGCACTTGGCGCTCTATGCACGCGAATTGTTTGCAATTAACTTTAACGGCAAGTTATGAATTTCGCTCGAGTTCTTACGCTCCTCTTCTTTCGTTTGTCTTCATTTAGCTTTGGCGCATTTCGTCAAGCGAAAGAGGTTAGGTGTGCTCGTGCTGT